CCATGTGGTTCTGGTGAATACCTTGAAAAATTCCACTTAAAGGAGGGAAAAAAAAATTCCACACAACCGAGAAAGGATCTTTAAAATAACTCATTTCATCTTTACAATACAGACAAAACACAGTCCACTTGCTCTGAACAAAAAGCAAATAAAAACGATCCGCAATGCATACCATTGTGATTATTTTTATTATTATTGTTGCTCTTAAAATTAGAAAACAAAGCTAATGCTGCTTCCCTGAACTGGGGGGGAACTTTTGCTCTAGAGGAACAAACCACGGCTCTGCTGAGATATTGAATCAAACTCTGGCTGACTGGTGAAACTAGTCCCAAGGGGAAAACAAAACAAAACAAAACAAACAAAAAAAACCCCCATGTTGTACACGTTAAAGTCATTAATCTCAGGTGGATTTTAAGTTTCCTGTTCTTTCTTCCCCTCTCCCAAATCTTGTCTTCTGCTCCGTCTCCCAGATGTAGAGGACAAAGTCATTCCTGTGCTGGCTCCCATCTGCTCTTGGAAGCCAAGCGATGGTGTTTCGTGACCAATGCAGGGAAGGCAAATCCTTCCTGGTGGGGTGAGGGTGTCAAGGACAAGAGACCCCAAGGCTGAATTTTCCTCTTACTCCCCACATCCCCGAGTACCTTCAGAGCCTCCTCCCAGCATCTTCTCCAAGCAGGTAGCCCAGAGCTGGGCAGCGCAAGCCCAGCTCACTTGGAGGACGCCAATGGTTGTCTACGGGGATCTGTTTTCTAGCAGGAAAAGGCACGGTCCCTCCAGGACTCTTTTATCACTTCCCTGACAAAACCACTGCTAATTTTACTCAGATTTTTGCCTCCTCCCCCCCACCCCTCCCTTTCCCCTCAAGTAAGGGCTTTCGTAGCTGCACACGAAACACTCGTGGGCTGCCTGCTTTGGCGTGGTTACAGTATTTTCCGTTTTGCAGACTAAACAAAACAATCAGATGAGAGTTTTCTGTAATGAATGTCATTTGCCTACCTCAGGGAGAAACCTAAATGATACAAAACTGGAAGGGGGCGAGGGTGGGGAGGGATTCATCAAAAATATAAAGCCAGCTGGATGCACGTGAGGTCTAAATCCTCAGATTCAGAAATAGCATTAAGTCCAAACTGTTTTATTAAATCACGCGTATTTTGTCAAATGAATAAATGTTACAAAGCCACCGACATAATACTTTTCAGGATGGCTTGCCCTTTTCCCTCAGGGGTAATAGTGTAACATTTTGAATTAATAGTATTTATGGGAATATATCAGCTGTATTTTCCCAGCTAGGGTAAATCAACAGAGCTGTGTAGTAGGACATGGAGCTGGACCAAATTATACCGGCTGTTAGGATCTGGTAGGGCATAAGAGAGGGAACTGTAGCATCACCTGGCAGAGACATTCGCAATAATTAAAGCCGTTGCATTTAAAAGCTGAAAGACCTCAGTGTTTCGGAGCAAAGCCTTGAAAACGGGTTGTGGAGGGGGTGGGGGAGGGAAGGACACTGGTACATGAAGGTCTTGCTCTGCCGTTAGGGTTGTACGTTCCTTGCTAAACTGGTTCGTGACAAATGTTGTCCCAAATATCCTTCAGACCACACATGCACAGGAGATAATTTGGCAGCTACATTTTGGACTCCTGTTGCACCCAGCATTGCAATGGAGAGCAAGGGCACTTCTGGCCTCTGTGCGCTTTGCTGCTGATGCCAGAAGGAAAGCGTCAGAGCCAGGTTGCAAGGAGCAAGATGCACCATGAGTTGCTCCACCAGTACAGTCCCATGTTATAGACTCTTTTTCTATTCCTTGTATTAAAAGGAAAAGAAAACAGAAAGCACCGCCTCCCTCTCATAGAAAGCCATTTTCTGGAAAATGAGAAAATGCCTGGCCATCAGGAGGGAGATGACCCTAATTTGCTGGATGAAGCAGGGCTGTGGAACAAGGGAGGCTGCAGTTTATCAGACTGTGCCCTGTGCATGACTCTTGTCTCGGTAAGGTCCATCACTCTCGGCACGTTTCTAAGCCACTCTGGAGAAGGACCCTGAAATACAGGAGTTATATTGGTGTCATCGTGTTAATTCATAGACCAACAGCCTAGGACATGGGTTGGGGCCACATGGACTCTTAGCCCAAAGACGCAAAATTCAGATGAAGCCTGGGATGGATTATCTAGAGGAGCCAGCAAAGATTTTCAGCCTGGATTCCCCAAACTGCAAACTTCCAGACACTGCAGCCATTTCAGGCTGGCATCTCCAGTAACGGGCAGCTGTGGGCAGAGGCAGACACGAAGCGTGAGGTACCACGGTGGCTAAAGGTCTGCTGAGGGGTCATTTCCCACCTGATGGACCTGCAGACGCCTGGTAAGCTTACCCACATCTTTTCATGCTCTGCAAAGTTATGGTTTCTTCTGACATGCGAAAAGCAGCCGAGGAACATGGGCCTGACACCGGAGGACTGAAATGCAGCTGAAAACGATGTGCGTATAGAGCATTTCTTCCATCTTGCTATTTTTTTGCCAAGCAGAAAGACTCAGGACATCAGCAAGGGAGCAAGAAAAAGAGTCATTACAGAATAGCATTGCAATGCTCAAATTTTTCTTCGGTCAAAACATCCCTGCCTTGTTGGCTTCATCAGAAACTGGAAATAAAAATAAAATTCCTTAAAAGAATGAAAGTAGACTGTTTCTTTACATGTCAAACGAAGCCAAATGCTGGCTTTGGAGAGCAGTGGGATTTGTGCCACCGGCCTGTCTGCATGTCAGCCTAAAGACACCCACCGCTCATCACGCCGCACTGCGGAGACGTTTTAGTCCACCAGCTTTTATGGGGTGACAATAACACAAACCACTGACAAACTACCAAAAGGCCTCTTTTTGCCTGCTCGTGGCTGGGGGAGGGAAGGAGGCGAGGAGACCAAACCCGTTGCAGCAAAGCAAAGTAGCTGAGGAGTACAAAATATCTCTAATTTTGCTCTATAGCCTGCAATGCTTTTCTCCTCCAGCTCTCCAGGGCTGCTCAGAGGCATGTCAGAGGCATTGCCTCCTAGGGAGCAGCTGGGTGGGGAAAAAAAAGGGTTTGGAGGAAGACTGTGGTGTTATGGACGTGTTTTCCCCTAGGAAAGTGTCACTGTCCTCCCTCATTTGTGTAGGAGTGATTTTGTGGCTGCTTACAGCACTTTCTTTAGGGAACGGGGTGCCCAAAAAATGATCTGAAGGACCTCACAGGCTTTGCCGCCTTCTGCTCCTGGAGCAGACGTCCTTCTCCAATGTCACCTTTCCTAACAGGGATGCAGAACTGGATGCCCATTGGGAAAAAAAAAAAAAAAAAAAGAGCAAGAAAGGGAACCTAACCTAAGCCAAAAAATCCAATGCACAGCAACTGCTGCAACATGCAGGAGTAAGGAGCAAACCGCCCATGAGATGTCTTAGTCACGTTTGTTATTATGCTTCTTGGGGGCACTGGGTTTTTTTACTGATGAGAGTGATCGCTGATATAAAAAGCAAAACAAGAATGGTGACTCTTCCTTTCTCCAAGTGCTCTGTTTCATTGTCTTGACTGTATCTTGGCTAATTCTGCTCAAAATGAAGAGGCTGGGGAGACGGGGAATAAAGGAACTCATCTATCCCACGCCAGCAAGTGCCTCGAGCCATGCTCTTCTCCCGTCCTTGGGAGGGAAAGCAGGGTTGCTTTCCAAGTAGGAGAGCGAAACATAATAATCTAACATTTTGCTGTTGCACCAGTAACTTCAGCCTTTATTTCATACTATTGTTAATGCTTGTTTATAATATAGAGATATATTTATGTAGGAAGTAGAGTAGACGAAAGCGCAAGATATATCTTATAAATATTTCTGTATGTCCGCATACAAAAGAAAATATGTACAGCCACAGATAGTGGTTCTCTGCTGTGTCAGGGCAGGGCCACGTGAAGGACCGACACGTTCCCACTCCTTTCTGCGGGGAATAGCGGCTGCCCTGCATGGCTGCACTCCCTACAGCCGGGGCTCGACCCGCTCCGCTCTCTGCAGTCTCTTGGGGCTGGGCCGATAGTTTTGCAGGGGGGAAAGAGGCAGCGGCATAATTCCCTAAGGATTTGATGGCCCAACGTGGCAGCACATTGGTGACTAAGAGCATCACGCCCAAAGGGCAAGAGGGGAAGAGAGCAGGAGCTGGGGTTTGGGTTTTTTTTTTTACTTTCCCCACTGGGTTTTGACTTCACGTTGTTAATTTATCCTAATGGCTCCACTACGACCTTGTGGCCCCCATGAAGCCCTTCTCAGGGTACCCTATTCTCGCTGCCTCCGGCATCCCACAGGAGTTTTTGCATGGCTGAATTTGAAACCCCCATCCAGCCTGGAAAAAAATCACGGACAGCTTTTCCTGCAGCAGTAACTTCAAAGTTGCAGACCTGCATAAAAGAAAAGTTAAAATGAGTTGTTCATTTCAGGGGATCGACTTGAAATCTTTATCATCCGGAGTGGATGCTTCCATGCTAAAAATTAAGTCTTTGGCAACAAAGGCAGTTATTGCTGAAAAGTTGCAGCGTTTTCCCATCTGGGCTGGTCCTAATGCAGGCTCAGTACCTGTGCTAGAAGGCATAGGCAGGTGTTTTCACACCTTAGCTATTTTCAAACAAGAGTTGCTTTTCTTCCCTGGGGGAAAGTTTCTACTTTTGTTTCTCAAAATGCTAAGGCACTCGATGGCTGGACATCATTGGCAACCGTAGGAAATATTTTGGAAGAGATACCATCCCAAATGAGTTTTTGACTTCTCAGAGAGCATTTTATTGGTGGGGGGAAACATTTGTGGGTTTGGTTGGGTTTTTTTAAGGGCCTTATTTTTACTGGTGTGATTGCTTGTTTTTTTTTTTTTTCCTCCTACCATCTTTCTTCAAGTCTGTGTCTTTACAAGATAAGCGACGGCTAGTCGGGGAAATGTTTTCTCTTCTCTGAATAGTGCTGGGGTGCCACTGGCATCTCAGCTCCCGGGCAGAGAGAGGAGGGTTTTCATTTGCACACATATCTCTCGACAGTCCTCTCGCACTTTTTACAGGTCACGTAGCAGCACCAATGGTACTTGCAGTGGCACCGCTCCACCACTTTGTCCATGTAGGGGTTGTAGCCTCTGCCGCAGCACATCAAGTCGCAGCTGTCGCTCCCGTTGGAGGTCTTGTTGCATTGCCTGGAAGAAAGAAAATGCGGTGAGCATGGGCAGGTCCCTGCAGGGCTTTCCCAAACCAGTGTTCTGCCGTGGCGCTGGGGCCTGGCAGCTCTGCAAGGCGCTGGGTGAAGCCAACACGGTTGCCTCTCAGCTACAGCAAGCACGTGGCAGGGGTGAGCACCCAGCCAAGCAGCCCTCTACACCCGCAAGGGAGGCAGGGCGAGCCCCAGGGCTGCACGCACATCACCTGCTCTGATGCCCAGGATTGCACTTGCATCACCCACTCCGACACCCAAAATGACATTAAACTCCTGTTCTGACTCCCAGTTTGGGCTTAGGGGCATTCAGGACCTAGCTCCCGTACACGCAGGCAAGCGAAGCTATCGCGACACCTCCACCAGAACAAGAACTCGTAGTGCCTAGCAATCTGTATTCCCAGGCAGGCTCCAAAGCTGTCTGAAAGGAGCTGGAAGAAGACAATACCCTAAAGAACAAACACCGGTGTTTGTCCAACACTACCTAACCTGAAAAGGATGGAGGAGGAGCCCTGCAGGCACAGAATATTTGCACAGGCTCCGTGCCACAGCCGATACCAGCAGAGCCGGACTCTGCACTTTCCCCCCACCAAGTGTCTCCCAGCACAGCATGAGCGGCCGGGGAGCTGGCCCTACAACACCCCGAGTCGTGACCCAGGAGCACACGGGTTGGCAGGAGCACAGTGTAGGATGACAAGTCACCAAATATCACATGGACTTCCACTGCTTGTTTTGCTTCTGCTTTTAATTAAAGCCAGACTTGTCAGGATAAGTCAGCCATTGTGTGGGGTTCCCTCACTTTGTCGGCCTGCAGGTGGCTGGCTTGAGGTTTTCAGAAGTAACTCATGCATCGGGGAATCTCTTCCATTGATCTGTTGATCATGGATCCCCAGCCATTCTCAAAAACCAGCTAACTCATTTGCCTAAGATACTCCAAGTTGGGTCACTGGACGTGATAGTGCAACAGGCATTGAGTTTTGGATGAGATTAAGCATGTTGTAGAGATGTCGTTTCTCCATAGGCTGTAAAGATAACCTGGCGGGGAGCGTTCATGTTTGGTCAGATGCTTGGCCACTCAGATCTCATGATGCACCCAACGCCACGGAGCTGTGAACTTGATGGAGTCTTGAAACTACTGTAAGACAGGCAGTTTGGAGAGTGGAGGGAATTGCTGACATCTCTCCTAAATCTTATTCTGCATTGTTATTTTGGACAGAAGGCTGGTTTGGGGCAGGGGAAGGAAAGAGGAGCATGAGTCGGACTCTTGAGCTGACTCCATTAGTAGATGAAAACAAATCCATTAGATTTATAGGAATTCCTCATGAGGTAATGCTTTAGGAGGTTACGGGATTAATGAGGTGTTGAGATTTTATTCTTGTTCTTCCCTTATTTTTTTCTGACTCAGGCGGGCCTCATGTTTGTTATTTCTGACTTGCATTCCTCTCCATGTTCAGTGTTTAAAGGCCCTCCCTGCTCCCCCTCATTCGGGAGTGTGTGTAAATATTTACAAACCTTTGAAAGCCTCTGCCGAAGCCGAAGTCTGCAACCACACTGAGCGTGTTTGCCTAACGCTGAACCAAAGGCGTTGTTATTGCCCCTGTGAGCTGGGGCCCCTCCACCAGGAAACCTCTGAATGACTCCTCATAAATGTATTAGTAAATGCATTAAATATTCGGAGCAAAGGTTCAAATATAGGCATGTTGACAAGAGGGGAGGGTATTTGACAACCTTACTCAGCTTCACCGGTGGATGGAAAGGTTGTTGCCCGCAGGTTCACCTAGGGAGGATGGGGAGTCTGCAGAAGCGCAGTGATGGATGTGCAGTGCATCCATGCCACCTCGTGCTGAGAGCTCATTAAAATGGCCAAGAAAAGGAATACGGGTCCACTCTGATGCTAGTTCACCATTGAGGACATCCACTCCCCAAATGTACAAAGACCCTGACAATCAAATTTACCCCATTCAAACAGAGAGCAAAACTCTTCTACCTGCTGTACTGGGACATGGGACTATCCCTTTCCTTGCACCCACTCCTCCAGTTTGCAAAAAAAAAAGTGGATCTACAAGGAGATACGCCTTTCTATAGCTGTCTCCATCCCATCCAGCTTGAAGTAAAGAAAGGAAAAAACCAAAATCTTCTTATTAAAAAATCCCAAAGCTTCCCTCAGTTTTGGATAAAGGAACAGGGACATTCTGGATGGATGGGTTAAATAGCCAAAACAAAGCTTTCGACCCCATCCTGAACATAAATGGGCTTCTGGAAAACTTCCCTGACAGTGCCACTAACCAGAGATTTTGTTTTCTGTTTTAAAGTGTAGGCCTGGGTGAATTATCTTTATTTTTCTTCACACAAGCTGAAACAGAGGTAGTTTCTCAGATGTATCTATACATACAAAAAGCAACTGGGGAAAGAGAAAGGAGCCCAAAGACCAGAGTTTACCCACAGAAGCTGCCCCCGAGCATCTGCTTTCAGAGCCCATGGCTGTGATCTCACCAGGCACCCTGCTGATGGGTTAAGTTCAATCTCATTTGTTTTGGGCTGGGTCCAGCACGATTCCAGCAACTCAGAGAAATGCCCTCCTCCCGAGCCTCAGAGAGAAAATACGAAGGCAGGCGATTGCATCTTAACACAACACCATAACCTCTAGAAGCACTTGGAAGACCAGTGAAAAACGATGCTTCGGCTGTAATCCCAGCCAAGGTCCTGGCTCAGGAACAGGCTTTCACATTGTCACAGTGCTTCTTCCTTCTTTATGCAAGAAGGGAGGTGGTCAGCCCTGCTGACTGGACTAATCCCACTCAATATGCCTGTCCAAAATCTCCCCTTTCCAGCCCTCATTTGCAGAAACACTGTGGTACATCGTACAGCCTCATCGTGGGGGCGGCTCCTCGGCAGAGGTGGTGAATGACATCTCAGCACTTCTAAGAGCCTTCACCCAAATGGAGAGGCTAAGCCATCTCACAGTTACCTCCTGGGGGATTTTCATTTTAAAAGCTATGGGGACATGTCAAAATTTCATTGTGGATCCCAGTTCACTTCTGTCCCATCAGCAGGTATTGTGCCCCTGTCCTGGGCACTGGTGATGCCTCCCCTCAAATGCTGGGGTCAGGGTTGGGCCCCTCCCTCCCTGAAGGACCTGGGGGGGCTGGAGCGTGTCCAGAGAAGGGCAGCGGAGCTGGGGAGGGGGCTGGAGCCCCAGGCTGCTGGGGAGCGGCTGGGGGAGCTGGGGGTGTTCAGCCTGGAGCAGAGGAGGCTGAGGGGAGCCCTCAT